CTCCAGCTCCCATGACTTTTTAAAAAAGATATATTTCTTACATCTTAAAAAAAAATGCAAGAAATATTTTAAAACCCGAGGAGGTAATCCTACTTCTGCCTCATGTCAAAATGATGGTCAAGTCATAAAAAACAAGTACTTTTGTTAGGGAGTAGTGAGTGCCCCCCCCAAAAAACCCCTCACAAGATAGCACTTTATTTATTCCTAAGGGTGAAATGAAAGCAGAACCCCTATGTGTATCAGCTTGGAGTAGACTTGTGATAAATAAATCAACCTGCTTAAAATGCAACCCCTTGTGCAATTGTGCATTCCTGTTTCTGCGTTTCACTGTCTCTGTCCCTAAATATTTATAAGTAGGAAGATATTGATGATTGCTACATATACTACATTTTGCCAGTTCGTAGCAACCCTCTTCCCACAACACAGATAAGTCTGTAGTTAACTTTCCCAGAGCTCCTTATCGGTGGTTTCCATAAGTGGTTGCACACAATCACATTAACCAGGTCAGAAGGAGGCTTGTGACAGCTTTCCCTCAAAGAACCTTAGTAACTCTAGTATGGTGAGATCCATAACTCTTCAACAATTTTAAAACTCTGGTCTAGCAGTGCCAAAATGGGTCTCTAGAGGTTTGTCTTCTCTGTAAACCTCACCGAAGTGAAACGGGTGTATGAACTGAGATCTGGAGCTATCTCACCAAGTTTTATTTTGAAGTTTGGGTTTATAGAGCCTGTTTACCTTGTAGCATTGTTTTTGGCTTGGCCAAACATTTTTATGTGGTTTTGCTGTGCATTTGCACCATAACTGAAGAAGTTGTATTATTTTGTTGAAGATGATCGGGACCTTTTAGAGATCCTTGAGTGACCTTCTAGACCATGTTCTTGCTGAATCAGAATCCCCAGTCAGTGTAATGCCTTTCTTCATTGGGGGGGGGGGCATCGACTAATGCCAGTACCCCAGTAATCAGGATCATCTGGGGAAAAATGTACTTTGCGGTCTTAATTTACTGGACCGGTTTGGAAGAGGCATGCCTGTTACTGTCCATTAAACTGCACATTACATCATTTGTGGCAATTTGTGTCATTTGTGTAATGGTATCATGGGGGCAAATGACCCAATTGTTTGCATAACAGCAGCATAACGTGAATGATGTAATTGCTTGCATTATGACATCACCAGGTAAAGGCCTCAATCATTTGCATAATGTCCCTGCAGCAATTAATGTAGTCACTTGAGTAATGATGTCATAATGCAAATTACCTAAATCATTACAAATGGTGTTAAAACCACGTGTGTGTAATTTTCTTATCTGGACTACTTTGAATGCAACCGTTTCGTCTGTTATTTCGGGGGAATGTCGAGGCAGATACTTGGATCTGAAGTCTGCTAAACAGAGATCTGTCACATTGTGGTTTCATGCTCCGGAAATAACTCCTCCCGTTATGATGAATTTAATTTTGCTGGGAATGAAAAACACTGATCCTTTTGCTAATTTCCAACAGTGAATTATATTTGGGTCCTGATGGTTATAATGCATTTAAAAGCTGCTCAAAGCGTTTGCAGATTCCAGCAGAGGGAGCTGCAAGATCTGGGTTGATCCGAAATGCTTGTTGTCTTATGGCTGAAAGGCTGTTTAAAAGCAGCTCGTGACAGAATTAAGGGTCACTTCCACTTCTTAAATCTTAAATCCAACTCAGAATTCCAAAGGTTCTTCCTTTATAATATTTTGCGTGGATTCTATTAATGCTGGTGTGAGTAGCGCTGCTTCGGTTAATTGATATTTTTTAACTGTCTTGAATAGGTTGGGTTGTTATACACTTTTATTATTTTTATAAATAACTCAAGGTAGCAAACATGCCTAATACCCCTTCCTTCTCCTATTTTCCCCACAACAACAACCCTGTGAGGTCAGTTGGGTTGAAAGAGAGCGACTGGCCCAAAGTCACCCAGCCAGTTTTTCATGCCTAAGGCAGGACTAGAACTCACAGTTTCCTGGTTTCTAGGCCAACACCTTAACCCAGTGTTTCTCAACCTTGGCAGCTTGAAGATGGGTGGACTTCAACTCCCAGAATTCCCCAGCCAGCCACGCCGGCTTGGGAGATTTGGGGGTTGGAGTCCCCCCATCCTTCAACTACCCAGGGTTGGAAACAACGGGGTTAGGTGTTGTGCCTGAAAACAGGAGA